GCCAGTTGTAGACACACTGCTGGCCCAGAACAATGTGTACCGTAATCAAGCCATGTAATAACATCATGTGCCAGAACATAATAGTGCAACATGACGAAAACTCTGTTCAAACAGTGAATGGACTGATTTGTATATAGTGCTTTTCTTCTCTCCCGGATAACTCAAAGTGCTCTATACAATATGCCACATTCACCCAGTCACACATTTTCTTTTAACTGAGTGCTTCCTAACTACATTCACACACTTGACATGCAGACTGGAGGAGCGAGAGATCAAACCACTAACCTTCTGATCAGCAGGTGACCTGCTCTACCTGCTGAGCTATAGACACCCAGTGGCAAGGATGAGTAAACCGTTACTAGGTTTTGGATTAAGTGTACACTCACAAACCTTTGAAACCTGCATTTGAAACATTGGCTACCATAGCAGTATAGTATTGCAACATGGCATTTGTGTCTTCTAACTAAAATGGGAAAATAAGTGCCAACATTGCCAGACCTAGCCCTCAAAATAAAATAGGCATTATGCTTGAATCATTTAGTTGCATGTGCTCAGGACAGCAGCACATAAGGGCATTAGTAAACAATAACATTACAGGTCACAGATGGATTTTTCCATTTCAGTGCAGGAACCCAATAATGAAAGAGAATCTTTGGGATGCGAACATGTCATTAATGTATACAAACACACACATGCCTTGTGTTTATGCAAAATATTTCTCCTCAAACTGTGTTTTATTTGTCCCTGCATTATGAATAAAATTAAGTAAATATAATTCAATGAAATATAATATGTCCTGATATTTCTAATAAAGAAAAAGAAGAAACTGAGATTTTGGTTCCATCCGAAGAGACAGCAGCAGGCAGAATTTCATGGTGGGATCTTGAAGTTGAAGCTGAATGAGGCTGATTTTTTTAAATGTATTTACAGCCCAATGCAAAGCCACATACTGTAGCTGTTGCAGCAGCATGGTTTTGTCAGAGAAGAGTCCAAGTTCTGAAATGAACTGCCAATTTGAGTTGATTGATATTGATCTTCATTTTGATATATTTATATTAATACTTTCCATTCTGTTCTGCATGTTGCCTTCACTTCTCTAAACATGGCATCTGTGTCGTGTGTGCCCCCGTTTGCTGCAAGCATGTTGTCCATCTCTTAACAAGCTCCTCCACTTGGTGGAGCTAAATCAATCTTTTCACAGATGTGGAACCCGTTGCCAGCGCTCTGAATGATATGTTGAAGCCCTGACTCAGTTTCACTGGCGTACAGCTGTATGGTCAGGTCTCCAAGCTCACCACCACAAGTGAACAGAAACAGTCATCTGCTTATTTGCTTCTGGGCCAAACAGCTCTTTCATAGTTTTTGTCTTCTCTGGTGATTTGACCGACTTGGATGACAGACAGGAACACCTGAGGACCTGGACAGGAGACTTAAATGCATATAACAATTTATTTGTTGATCAAATACTTGATTTTCCAGTATCCAGAGTCCCTGGTGTCTTCCACACTTAGTAAACTGTGTCACAGTTTTGTTTTTGTTTTTACAATATCTCAGTCACTGATAATGAAGAGGGACAAGATCTACATTTTTTCCCAGGAAGGTGTTTCCACAGCACTCTTGCCCACACCAGTTTTTCCAGTTGTCGCAATTCACAAATCAGGACCTGAATCACAATTCACAACTTCAGTGTAATCTGTGCATGTAAACCTCAATGAATCTGAAAGTATTTCAACATTTTTCATACATGAGATAATTAGACATCTTGCAGAAAGAGAGGATTAAAAATCGTTCTTACCTGAGTGAAATGTAGCATTTTTTTTGTTTTTATCTTGACTGCTGTCACAGAACAGATGAGAGAGATAAATGTTAAAGCTGTTAACTGCATTGGTTATTTATAGATACACCTCTGACATGCCTGCATTGGTTGGATAACGCCCCCACATAATAGAAACACAGTGCAGCTCAGCTTCAGACACCACACAGAGTTTTGCTGCTTGTCTAAGGGAATGTCTCACGGTAAGTTCACTTGTAGACTTTTCTTTTATTTGCATTAGTTAAAAAACCATTGTTAATGAATAAAATTTAGATATAAGGAAAGATGTTTAATGATTACCTAAACATGAGATACAGTATTACAGACAAATGATTTCATGTTTGTCTAATGAGCTTGGAAAGACGTTTTTCTTTCCAGTCTCCTTAGACTTATAACCTTCTCAGACGAGTTCATGTTTGTTTTCACAGACAACATACATGATTTTTACTGCACAACACTGGGGGAATACTTGTCATAGTAACTTTACAGTTTACACTGCTAAAGTGTTTGACAAAGCCTTGAAAACTGATATAGCATCTTGTGTAAACAGTTATCTGTTTTTTTTACCCAAAAGAAAACTTATGAAATATAAATAAATGAAGGTGAAGAGTTCAGAATTCTGCTGCCACTGACCTATGAACCTACAGATTACTCCTCCTAATCCTGCACCATGAGCTGCCTGCCCTTCAAACTGGAAAAAAGGGCTAAACAGACAAAATCCAGACCATCAGAGGCAACTAGCAAGAGGTAAAGGTGAAGGTGGAGAGTAGAGAGTGGCTGATTTGTAATTACAGTTAGCTTCATGTAAATCTGCTTTCAACAGAAGATGCTATTAAATAATTAATTGTTATGAAACAGCAAACAGTTAACTGCTAAGTTAATATGTTCACTGTTACAAAACTTCAGATTTGGCCATAAATCACAAACCACAGCTAGGCTACACACTCACACTGACACAGCAACGAGAGGTAAACCACAATCTCACTCAGCACTTTCCCTTAAAAATGATTTGTGTGGTGGCTTATTTGAACAAACCACTATGCTTCATAGAAACTGATACAAAAACTCTCATTTGTCTATTTTATTCAGGTGGCAAACATAAAGAAAAGCCCTACAGTGACCCTAAGAAGAGTTCAAAAAGTATGAACTGTGCTTATAATGTGCCTAAAATTAAAGAAAGTAAGTGTTTGTTTTAATGTAACTTTCATCTGTTTCTCTTAAATTATCATTATTGTAAATCAATTCAGGAGGACATGCTGGCACCACAGTGAACCTTGTTCTTCTGGGAATGTCTGGGACTGGAAAGAGTGCCAGTGGGAACACCATCCTTGGACAGAAACACTTTGTTTCTAGACCCAGTTCAACGGCGGTCACCAAAAAGTGCCAGATGGAAGAAACTGAGAAGGAAGGTGTACACTTATGTGTGATTGATACCCCAGACATCTTTGATGATGACATGAAATCATCAGTTAGGGACAAACATGTAAAAAGGTGCAAACAGCTCTATGAGTCAGAACTCTGTGTGTTTGTACTTGTGATGCATGTGAGCAGATTTACAGATGGTGAGAGAGACATACTGGAAAAGTTAGAAAAAGCTTTTGGGAGGGAAGCTGGAGAACGAACAATTATCCTGTTCACCCGAGGAGACGACCTACAACAGGCAGGACTGGGGTTGGAGGATTTTTTACATACCTGTCAACCTGATCTGAAGAAAATACTTGAAAAGTGTGGCAACAGGTGTGTTCTCTTTGAGAACCACAGATCAGATTCAGCTCAAGTGGAAAAGCTAATGGACAACGTGATCAGGGTGACAGAAGAAAAGCAAAAATGATGACTTCATTTATCAGATCAGAGCACTAAAATACGTGCCATTTCCTGCCTCAAGTAATAAATATGTTAGAGCATTAGTCTGTTTCTTAAAGTGCTGTATATTGGATTTATAAATAGCTTCACGTGTCTTATTTTACAATGTTCCAAAGTAGCCTACATCCAACCAAGATGCCACGTAGCCTGTTTCCTGCTTCATGTCTTCCTTGTGTTTTCTAGTCTCATTGTTTTCACAGTGTTTCATTGTATTTTTATGGATTTTGGTTTTCCTTCAATAAAAGATCCCTGTCTGTCTGCATTAGGGTTCTGATTCCACAGTCTAACCTGACAAATGGGATTTTATTTATTTATAATAGTCACACCAGTTTTAAGATGACACATCATAAACGCATATTCGTCTTCCTTTGATGATTGTAGCGTGTGTGTCTGTTCACCAACTCCTGTGAGATGCCTTGATCAGATACACTATGATACCAGAATTATCAACAAGCACCGAGAATCCAGTCTGACAAATGAATATTTTAAGATTGTTAACAATATTCTGAATTTCAGTTTCAAGTTAGCTTGAAAATTCAATGATACTTTATGCAGTTCTACCTCTGCTGCTGAGTGGAAATGTAGGTACTAGAACACAGGATACACACCAAGAATACTTCTTCAGACTAACAAATTAATAAAGTTTGATGTGCTTCAAAACTGGAGTTATTCTGTGCGTCGCCAGGTAATGGTAAATGGTAAGTGGCCTGTATTTGTATAGCGCTTTACTAGTCCCTAAGGACCCCAAAGTGCTTTACACAACCAGTCATCCACCCATTAACACACACACATTCACACACTGGTGTGCCAGGTGTTTCAACAGATTCGAGGTGTTACCTCCTTTGACAGTATCAGCTTAAAGCACTTGTTGCTGCTGAGTTTGTATCTTTTGCTGTGAAGTACAGCCAGACTTTGACCGCTCCTCCTTGGGCATTTTTAATCTGTAGCTCTGCTCTAAAAGAACGTACGTACCTGGGCCCGCCTACTACACTTGCAAAGGTAAAATGATTGGCTAGAATCCAAAGTGTATGACATCTCAGGGGGAAAAAAGCACCGAAATTGTTGTGGTCCTGGGTCGGTGACCCAGTGTTTTTGGGTTTTGTACTTTCACTTTTGATTTCATCATGGTTTGTGACTGTTTGTGTTTTGGGTTTTCTGTCCTAGTTTCGTGGTACTTCCTGAGTTCTGATTTTTAGGTTTTGTTATTTGACCTCCCAGTGTTTACTCTGTGCTCCCTCTGTTTTGTGTCACCCCCACCTGTGTATCCCTGTAGTGTAGCTACTGTAGGTCTCTGTGTAAAGCCCGCGTCTCTGTGTCTGTGTCTTCGCATGTGTTGTGAGTTTCCTCTTTTATTGTGAAAGTCTGTCTTATGCCAGTGTGTTGAGTTTGCGTTTCCCCTGTCTCGTCTTGTTGATCACAATCAGCTGTGCCTCCCTCCTGTGTGTAGCTGCCTCGTTCCCTTCTGTGTATTTATAGCCTGTGTTCACTCATGTTAGTGTTTCTCCTAGAGTCTTCCTTTCAGGTCCGTTTTGTTAGTTTCTTCCAGTCTAGGTCACCTTTAGGTTTTGTTTCTGTTTGCCGCATTTCAGTTTGTACCACCAGTGTGTTAATAAAAGCTCGCTCACATCCAAGCCAGTGCCTGCGTCTGGATTCTGTCTCACACTTACTTTGGTAATTGAGTATAACCTTTTCCTACTTTAGAAGGCCTCATGTAAACTCTGCACATATATTTTTGAATTCAGCTGAACAAACCTACAATGAGCGGTGAATATTGGAGAAGCACATGTCAGCTGCTCACAGCCTAATCCTTGGGCTGCCTTTTTTTCCTTTACAATCCAATTATGTCACGTCTCTCATACCTGACATTGTCATTTCAAATTTCAAAATGAAGATCTCTATGTCTATGTTATTATTATTTACTGATCAAACTGCACAGCTTCACATTTTTCTCATGTCACATCATTATGAAAAAATGTGAAAGATGATGCTTCATCATCTTCAAAAATAAATCATAACATGACACAGGATTTACCTTCTCTCTTTCTCCCATGCCTTTTCAAACTTTGTTTTGTTATCTACCAAAATGTGGTGTGTCATAGTTGATTAGGCTTGTTCTCTTTTGAATAGCCTTCGTCTTTTAACCTTTATTTCACTTTCTATTTCTCTATCAGTACATCCAAACTGAAGGTAGCCATGTGACCGCAACTATGGACAACGTTAGAAACAGGAATATTTCAGGAATTCAATGGCCTGACGTCAGTAAAACATTTAGACAAGTTAGACTGGATGTTGGTTTTGTTTGTTATTATCACATTTGTTTTTCTTCTGAACACACATATCGATTTTTGTTAGTGACTGAAAGGAATCCATTTCATCGGCATTATCTACATTTTCTGTCATGGAAGACAGAAGCCACTCAAATCTCTACTGAACATCACTGATTCAAATCGTGGAATTCTCTGTGTACTTATAAATGTTTGTCTCCTTGTGTTCTACAGCATACATAATAATTCATCTCATTTGATCATATACACATTATCTTATACACACACACACACACACACACGCACACATAAGTTAACGGATAAATGTGAGTAACTTGGAGGTTATACACAGATGGGAAAACATGACAACATGAGTCAAAAAGTTGAGCTGGCAATAACATTCAAAGTATAAACACCATCATCATTACATACATTACTCTTTGATTGGCTTTATATGACTGTAGGATCTTTAGCTTTCAAAATAAAGCATCTTGAGGCAACTGCTGTTGTGATTTGGCACGGTATAAAGAAATGAAATAAATACATAAATACGTCCATTTTGTGTCAAGTAGATCCCAAAGAGAAGTTCTTTCTTTGAAAAGTCTATTTTTAACAAGTTGAATGAAATCAGGAATCTTAGGGATATTTCTTGCTAAACTTTGTTATTTTTCTTTACAATGCATATCATTCAAGTCTTTCCAGCTTGACATGGTTGTTTTACAATTTAAAATTAATCTAAGGTAAAAACTGATATCATTTCCTGACTGCCACTGGCCTCACCAGATTGAGTTACCCCAAAAGGTGGATTCTGTTCATCTGTGCGTTTTCAGTGGCAGAAACGTTTCGTCACTCATCCAAGTGACTTCTGTTAGACTCCGAGTTACATTTGCAGGTGATTTACTGAAACATCAACGCACAGAAAAGATTCAACACATCATCTGCTAAGATGAAATTGTTTGACTTCTACGAGTCACATAAGAGGAGGACATAGAAAAGCAAAGCTTCATGTTTAATATGTATACAAAGGATCATTAACTTATGAAAAAGTGTGAAAGATGACACTTCATGATGCTTGCTCTCTTTCAGATAGTCGTCTTCTTTTAATCTTTATTTCAGTTTCTACTTCTCTGTACATCCTAACTGAAGGTAGCCATGTGACAGTTACTATGGGCAACATGGGAAACAGGAATATTTCAGGAATTCAATAGCGTGACTTCAGTAAAAACATTTAGATAAGTTAGACTGCATTTTGGTTTCCATTTGTTATTATCAGATTGTTTTTTTCTTCTGAACGCACATATGGATTTTTGGTGACGGAAAGGAATCCATTTCATTGGCATTATCTTATCTTTTCTGTCAGTGGAAGACAATGCACATGGAAGCCAATGGCCCTGGAGTTACTCAAATCTTTACTGAACATCACTGTTTCAAATCTTGGAATTTTCTGTGCCCTTACAAATGTTTGTGTTCTTCTGTTCTATGGCATCCATAACATCCATCCTCTTCAGGGGCACCGGGGGCTGGAGCCTATCCCAGTTATCTTAGAGTGAGAGGCAGGGTACACCTTGGACAGGTCGCTAGCCTACTAGCAGAGGCTGTATATTAAGAACAGGAAACAGATGCAGACAGAAAAAGCGGAACTAGGCAGAGGGTAGCACACGTAATCACTCCACCAGCAACACAAACATACACATATCAAGTAAGGGCAGAGTGTAGCGCAGAAGTTCTTTTGATCTAAACTGTGTATGACGTGAGTACCAAAATAACACGGGAGGGACCTGACTATCATACAGGTCATAGGCTTCTAGTGCTTCAGATCTGCAAGTGACTTAGCGCTGTGCACAACTCTCTTCCGGAAGATGATTGAATAAAATGATTATAAATGCATTGACCACTCTGACTCTGCGTCTTCTCTGTCTAATAAAAGAATAAAAAGAACTGGGTCCAATAACCCAAACTCTTTCATGGCATGCATTTTCTGTTTCTCTTTGCTAATTCTCTTTTGCTGTTTGAACAGTATAATGTCCTCATAAGCTGATATCAGGCCCTTGTAGAGCAAAATTTAGTAGTTTGGTCTAGACAACCCAAAACGTGATGTCCACATATGTGGACGCCAGCTTTCCTATGTTGGGCCGTCTTATTTTGCCTTAGACTGCATATAAGTCGTGTCAGGAGTTTCCTTCTCTCCTTCTTCCATGCCTTTTCATACTTTTTTATGTACCAAAATGTGGTGTGTCATAGTTCTCTTGTGTCACTCTTTCGAATAGTCTTCATCTTTTAATCTTTATTTCACTTTTTACTTCTCTATCAGTACATCCAAACTGAGCAAACTGAAGGTAGCCATGTGACAGTAACTATGGACAACATTAGAAACATGAATATTTCAGGAATTCAATAGTCTGAATTTAGTAAAACATTTGCACAAGTTAGACTGGATTTTGGTTTTGTTTGTTATTATCAGATGGTTTTTTATGGGTTTTGTTTTGAACACGTATGTTGATTTTTGTTGCTGACTGAAAGGAATCCATTTCATCGCCATTATCTCATCTTTTCTGTCAGTGGAAGACAATGTGCATGAAAACAAAAGCCCTGCATGACCCCATTCCTACAAGACTGCTTTAAAACGTCCTACTATTCATTAATGCTTCAATCTCAAATATGATCACTCTATCTCTATTATTTGTCTATGCATCACAGGCTTTCGAGCTGGCAGTGGTTATAACTTAAACAGCCATCTCCAGACCCAGCTGTCTTAGCTGATTATAGGCCAATCTCCAACCTTCCTTTTGTCTCAAAAATCCTTGAAAGAGTAGTTGTCAAACAGCAAACAGATCATCTGCGGAGGAATGGCTTATTTGAAGAGTTGCAGTCAGGTTTATTAAACCCGATTCTTTGATCCCCATGATAGAACAGAGAAAACCCGACTCAGGAGTGGTAAAACACTTAGAATTCTTCATTCAATCATCTTCCGGAAGAGAGAGCCCTGCACAGCCCAAAGCCAGTTGCAGAATCTCCAACATTAGAAGCTAAAAATGTGTCTCATATAGGTGTTATTTTGGTACTTTACACGTCACACACAGCCTCGATACAAACAACTCCTTATATGTTACTAGTTCCTGTTTTTTCTGTCTGGTTTCCTGTTTTATTTATATGCTTGTACAGCTCTACAGTAACTTCCTGTTTTTCATTCTTTTGTGAGTCAAAAGTGGCCTTGCTTTACAAGCCTTCAATATTAAAATACATAAAACAATATACTCAGAAAATAAGCACAAAGAATATATGTTTATTCCTTAACAGGTTTCAGAGCTCATCACAGCACAGAAACAGCTTTAGTGAAGGTTACAAATGATCTTCTTATGGCCTCTGACAGTGGACTCATCTCTGTGCTTGTCCTGCTAGACCTCAGTGCAGCGTTCGATACTGTCGACCATAATATCCTATTAGAGCGATTAGAACATGCTGTAGGTATTACAGGTACTGCACTGCAGTGGTTTGTATCATATCTATCTAATAGACTCCAGTTTGTTCATGTAAATGGAGAGTCAGATAACACACACCAATGAGTTAAACTGCAGGAATGTCTTAAAGACATAAAGACCTGGATGGCAGCTAACTTTCTGCTTCTTAATTCAGATAAAATTTTGTGAATTTTGCTTTGGAATCAATAAAGTTATTCTTATCCTTTTTCTCAGCGGTCCATCATTAGCTGAGCCATCTACAAGGCGGATGGGCACTTGGGCAGGGTGATAAAGTGAATTGTCTTGGAGAAATGATTCATGATGCTGAAACCTAGAAACCTGTCAATACCAGTCATCTAATTTTCTGTCATTCATACAGGCAAAACATAACAATGAATGAAGCAGCTGAACATCTGACTCTGACATTGTCATCTCAGAATCAGAAATAACTGATGAAAGTGGAGTGATTATTAGTTTTTATGAAGCTTGAAGCTTTAAATGAATAATTGTCAAATCAGATTCAGATTAAGGGAAACTTTCATAATGTTTTAATACAAACAGCCATAGAATAGACCCAAAGTAAAACTTCTCATTAGAGACTGTAAGAGCCAATTAAAGGCTGGTTTAATTGGTTTAAAAAAGGAAATATAGATTTTTGTTGATAAGTGTGTAATTTCCAGTTAATTTCCAAATACTGTTGTGTTAAAGGGTAGAATATAGAAGTGCGAAATTCTAGTGCGCTTTTTGGTATTTTGGGCTTCTGCCACGCTGTAATTACGTAGTTCGGGAGTTGGATAAGCTGGAGGCAACACAGTCTTTCGACCGAGTCTTGCCATGTTAATTCAAAGTTTCATTAAACAGCTTTTTAAAAAGAAAAGTACCTGGTCTTGCTTGCCTTTCAAATGCCTGTTGCTGGACTGACTTCTAAAGGTGGTACAAAAGAGTGAAACAGAGGCAGAGTGCCACCGTTATAGAAACTGAAGTCATCATTGTTTAAAACAGAAAACAATTCACAGCTCGAATTAACACAAAATATTTAATTGACTAAATTTATCTTGTGTCTCCCAAATGTATGATATATACATAACCACCATGATTTGATGCCCATATACAAATCAGAATAGATGCAACAGAGACAATAAATACTTTAATAGCATAGCTTATGTTATGATTATTATAAAACAATGATTATATGCTCACTATTTCACGTTCAAATACTTTCTTCTTCAAAGTCAAAAGATAAAGTCACATAAAAATATTTTACTTTATTATTTCTTTATGGGAAATCAACATATATTGATCCTGCACACTGTGTGTACGATCATGAACAAACTGTATATTTCATGTAGGTATAAAAGCTGTCCTATTCAGAATAGAATAATTACAGTAGAATAACAACACTTTAATCTTTCCCAAGAATGATGCGAAAAAGTTTGATACGTTTGCACAATGGCTCAGTGAACTTGTACTGCTGCAGTGTTACTCCCTTTTTGCGTGCTTCCTCCACCTCTTTAAACATGGCGTCTGTGTAGTGGGTGCCCTTATTTACTGACATCATTTTGTCGATCTTCTTGACCAACTCCACCACCTGCCTTCTGTCGCTGCTGGTGTTGTCAAAGACGTGGTACCTTTTTCCACAGCTTTGGATGATGCGTTTAAGCCCTGGCTCAGCATCACGTACATACTGCTGTATGGTCATGCTTCCAAGATCACCACCACGGGTGAAGAGCACAATCATGTACTTGTTTGCCTCTTGGCCAAACAGCTCCTGCAGGGCTTCCACTGAGTTTTTCTCTTCTCTTGTGAATCGGCCGATTTGGATGACCAACAGGAACACGTGAGGACCGGGACAGGAGACTTCAACACATTTGACGATTTCACTTTTGATGAACTCGTCTGATTTTGAAGTGTCCAGGATCCCTGGTGTGTCTACAACACTAATCACCCTGTTACCCCACTGTGTCACACCTTTTTCACAAAACTCAGTCACTGATGCAGATAAAGGACAAGATCTGAAACGCTCACATCCCAGGATGGTGTTCCCAACAGCACTCTTGCCCACACCAGTTTTTCCAATCATCACAATCCTCAAATCAGGACCTGAAACACAAATGACTAATTTGATTTAACCCATGTACACAAGAGTTTTACAAGAACCAAAGTGAAACTGAGAAGTTTTGATATTTTTCAAAGGAAAGTAATTAAAGACACAATGATTAATAATAAGTCTTACCTGGTGGAAATGAAGCCATGTTTTCTCTTCACTGTTGTCACTGCACAGGTGAGAGATGAATGCTAAAACTGCAACAAACATGTTGCTTTTTATAGCTCAACAGATGACACGCCTCCTGCAGTATTATACAGTCAGAGAACAGCAGTCTGCAGGCTTTAGACAGTGTCACACAGAGTTATGCTTCAACAGACCGAACAACTTCCACTCACTGTAAGTTGTGCTTCTACATGTATTTGCTTTGTAGCAATAAAAAATAATTTCTAATCAAGAGTGTCTAAGAGTATCAGAAAAATGTATTTATTTAACGGAGATATACTAATTTGTTAAATGAGTATACTTAAACAAAAGTGAAGAGTTGTGCTGGCATTGACATTTGAACCTGCAGGTTATTCGTTCAAATCCTGCATCATGGGAAACTTTTTCAGCAAATGGCAAGACGGAAGCAACGAGACTAAAGACAGACAACCGGCGGCAGACAATATGAGGTAAAGCTAAAAGTCGAGCACTTTTGATTTAGCTTTAGCATGTAAATCAAGTCTCTTTTCATGGGGTACATATATGCTATGAAATATTTTGCAAATGTAGCTCATAGAGATACTCCGAAATGTTTGCATATTATTATGATTATAACTTTTTATGACACAACAACCAGCTTCCTGATGAAGTGCGTGGGATTACAATGTATAACAAGACCACACACTGATGAGGCAAAGACAGGTAAACCACTATCTCTTTGAACTGCTATATAAAGCACATACTAGTGGGTTTTTCAGTCAAGCAGCATTGTTCATATGATTTCTGAAGCAAAGAGTACTTGAAAAATAATGCAATAAAGATTCACTAATGGTAACCACATTCTTTTGTGTTTTAATAGTACTGTACAAGACTCAATCTTAAATTATTTCATTCACTTTTAATTGATTCTTTTTTTAATGTAGCATAGTAAGTTTTCACTTACATTATTATTGGTATACATCTATGCAGGAAGACACACTGGCACCACAGTGAACCTTGTTCTTCTGGGAATGGCTGGGACTGGAAAGAGTGCCAGTGGGAACACCATCCTTGGACAGAAACACTTTGTTTCTAGACCCAGTTCAACGGCCGTCACCACAAATTGCCAGAATGTACAAACTGAGATCAGTGGTGTAGACGTAAATGTGATTGATACCCCAGATATGTTTGATGATGACATTGCTCCATCAGTTAGGGACAAACATGTGAAAAGGTGCAAACAACTCTGGGAGTCAGGACCATGTGTGTATGTACTTGTGATGCATGTGAGCAGATTTACAGATGATGAGAGAGACATAATGGAAAAGTTAGAAAAAGCTTTTGGGAGGGAAGTTAGAGGACGAACAATCATCCTGTTCACCCGAGGAAACGACTTGCAGCAGGCAGGAATGGGCTTGGAGGATTTTCTTCATTCTTGCCAACCTGATCTGAAGAAAATGGTTGAAAAGTGTGGAAACAGGTGTGTTCTCTTTGAGAACAACAAATCAGGTCCTGATCAGGTTGAAAAACTAATGAAGGTGGTAAACACAATACTCAAAGACCAGAATAATGTATAAATTGAAGTGCTTGGAAATTATTATTTTTTTTGCATATATGTAAAAATAGAGCATTGAGCGAATCACTATCTTGAAGAGGTAGATGATCTAATACAGCTACAAATGTGAATCTATGGTGTTTTCTTTAATAAATTTCATTTGACTTAACACACAGATGAGAAGAATGATCTGATATTTTTTCTTGGACTTCTGTCAAAGGAGGCAATGAAAGCTTGTTAACCTTTGTAAACTGGAACTAATTCAATAAAACTAAAATTTTCAGTACAAAGTGTCCAATTGTTCTATGGTCTAAGACTCAATTCAATTCAATTTTATCTATATGGCACCACATCAAAACAACAGTGGCATTAAGGCGCTTTCTATTGTAAGGTATTTTAAGTACTACTTAAATATCCTAATAACAACAAGTAAGCAATGGGGGTGAGTGAGTAAGCTCAGGAGGTAGAGGGTGGTGGTTCGAGTCCCGTCTTCTACTTACCCCAAGTTTCTCTCCAGTGCACCTATCACAGTATGAATATGTGTGAATGTTAGATAGAAAGCACAGAAAAAGGTGCTTGTATGACTGGGTGAATTAGGTAAGTTGTATAAAGCACTTGAAGTGTGCAATGGGAGTCCATTTACAATTTACCAATCTGAGAGCAAAGTCCTCTATTTAGGTGATACAGTACTATGATATGTTCAAGAGAAGATGAGGCCTAATCATTCAAAACATTCCAAGTGAGGAGAAGGATTTTAAATTTGATTCTGGATGTAGAAGGGATCAGATGAAGAAAAGCCAATTTGTTAATGGTAAATGGGCTGGTTCTTGCATTGTGATTTTCTACTCTGAGCACTCAAAGCATCCATATAACTTGCCTTATTCAGTGCTTTCTATCCATCATTCACACACTCTCCTTGTTCTATCTTCAGATATTTAGATATATTCATGTGGGGCTGTTGTTGGATGCATGTATTTATGGAAATTCTGTATGTGCAAAAAACTAGGTATCATATATTTTGATTATTGTTGATAGACTCATTATCGCCATTGCCTGTGTTCACCATAAATTAGGTAATGGTGGTGGTTTCTTAGGAGTTACTCTCACATGTGTATCAGGCACACAGAGGGAAGCCACATGTTGAAATGTATCAGTGTCAATTTACTTTTCCTGTAAGAGATATATACTCTGAGGAATGTACCAATTCATGACCGATAATATTCCATTGGTCCCCTGGGCAGACTCTTTTAGGCGGACTCGTTTCCAGTAGGTGTCAGACTCCGCCAGAGCTGCCCTTTGTCACTGATTCTGTTCATGATTTTTATGGACAGAATTTCTAGGTGTAGTAAAGTGGCAGAAGGCTTTCACTTATGTAGTCTCAGAATCCCATCTTTACTTTTTGCAGAAAATGTGATTCTGTTGCTTGATCGAGTGATGGCCTCCAGCTCGCATAAGTATCTCGGAAATCCTGCTCACGTGAGTACATTTACCTTTGACAGTTTGGAGGCAGATCCAAAGAAGAACTAAGACTAAGAACAAGAAAAATAACTCACTTCTCAAAACACAATACAACAAAGATTCAAAAATCCCAAAAAACACAAAACACTGGGAACAAACTCAGGGACCTTAACAGGACGTTTTTCTATAAAAATAGAAATGGATACCCCACCTCTAGCCCTTTGCTGTTTTCAATGTTCTGAAGTAAAGATACTAAAGATAAAAGATTATAGAGAGACTGCTGAGACTGTCCATGTTCTCCTTCTCCATTCAAATAAGAAAGCAAAATAGGGCAAAGGATGTTGTAAATGTTGTTATGTGCATCGTATATTTCATGGAATTATTGTTTTATACTGTTGTTACGTCCCCACAACAGTATAACAGTATTTACTCATCATTTGATTCAGATATTGTGAGTTAATGTTGTAGAGATTCAGAAAACCTTCAATGTGGCTAGATCACTATGCAGGAAGTAAACTGCACAACAGCTTTTACTTTTGATTTGAGAAGAATTTCTATGTTTTTGTTCAATGTAATGAGCCTGTTACTAAACAGAAACCCTGCTTAGTCAGATCTGCTCTGATAATTCAGCTGTTGAGCCAACCCTAATCTCCTATCACCACTTGATAAGATATCTCGTGAGAGTCATCAGCTTCCTGTAGAAGAACGAACATGCTGGCATGAGACTCAAACAATTATAACAGAAAGGTGGGCAGTGATGTAACACCTGTGGGTTACACCCAAAATGTTTTCATTCACCCGTGTTAATGGGCTAACAAGTACTGAGGAATGTTCATGTTTTCCTTTGCTCTAAAATTCAGTGTTAATGCCACTGTTTCACTTCAGAGTTGGTTGTGGAAGTTTTTTGCTTGCTTGCTTGTTTTACTTTGAATATGTTTCACACCCACTTGTGAGGAGAAACTCAATAAAGGGACTTTACAAACATTTCAGTTTGATGTTTCTCCTTTGAAAGACAACAGAATTAATAGCTAATATTTAATTATTTAGTACTTTATTATTATTTTTGTCTGTATGTCATATTTATGATTAAAAACAAAATGGAATAGAGCAGGAATTGATCCTGCAACATGAAATACTGGTATTGGAAGTATCGGTATTTCAGGATTGCTCCTCACATCACTACCCCTCAGTCACTGAGTGAGACGGTAGACAACGGTGAAGAGGAGAGTGCAAGTGCATTGCAAAAACACATAAATGTGACTGACACCCATAAACGATGCAGCACCTGGCTTGAGTTTAAAGAAGCAGACACTAACTAAAAAGAGAAACCAAATCAAACCAGCCAATCTGAGGCATTTGATTTTTCTGAATGTCAACCTGCACTGAGGACATACTGTTTTTGAGTTCGGTCCTTTTTCTGTTGTGTGAATTTGTTAGCAGTGTTTAAACCATGACCCTACTGAAAATTGCAAAACATGAATGTCTTGAGCATATTGAGCACTCAGTTCACTAGTCAGCTGGCAGCCCTACCTGATAACTGTTAGAATTCATATTATGGCAAGAACCTAAATCACCTAAATTGTCATGAATCGCTGTGCGGCAGGCAGGAGTTGGACCCAAAATGCAGGACTCACAGACTCGAGGGAATGAACTCAAAACACATGCCGGTAGAACAAACATACAAACTAAACTAAACTGGGAAACCACAAACTAAAAACTCACAGAGAGACACAGGGAGATCCACACAGCATGAGGGACGACGCGACACTGACTCAGAGAAACACAGGGTTTAAATACACTGGGAAGTAACGAGGGGAATGAGACACAGAAGGAGGGCACAGCTGGGAGAAATCAGGACTGACGAGACAAGCAAAGCAGGACGCATTCACATGAGACACGGACCATCAAAGTAAAGCAGGAAGTATCACACAGAGACGCGAACTTGACACAGTGGAGACAGCAACTAAGAAACACAGAGACATAACCTATAAGGCAGAGGACTCTAAGAACCGAGAGACACAGAGGGGACACACGGGGAACACAGGTGACACTGATAATCATAAGAGACAGGGCGGGGTGAACTGAACATGACATGTACAGGCGTGAGAGTCACAAAGTAAACAGGAAGTGCACAGAGGTTCAGACAGGAGGAGAGAGAGCACGGGGAAAACACAGACATAACGGGCTGGGGAAACATGAAACAACCACAAAGGGAGACGAGGGCTCATAAATACACAGAGGGCACACAGGGGGTAAAAGCCATGAAGGGAAAACACTTAGGGAACAACACAACAGGGCAACTCAGAAAACATGGCCTAAATAAGGAACAAAATACAAACATACAAGAAAACCAAGAACACTGGGCCAACATGGCCCAGGACCATGACATAAATAAATAGAAACGACAGTCCATTATTACTTTAAGAACTGAAGGTCAATCAGTCTGGAAAATTGCTATAACTTTAAATGCATCCCCGAGCGCAGTCACAAAAACCATCGGCACTAAAACGAAATTGGCTCACATGAGAACCGCCCCAACAACAGCTGTTCAGAGGAGACTGGATAAATCAGGCATCTATGGTCAAATAGCTCCTAAGAAAGCAAATAGCTACTAAGGAAAAGCAACAAGCAGAAGAGATTTGTTTGGGCCAAGAAACACCAGGAAGGAGGAGATGGACTTCTCTGACCAAATGGCCTGGCCTCCACAGTCACCTGACCTAAACCGAATCAAGATGATTTGGGATGAGATCGACCGCATAGTGAAGGCAAAAGGACCAACAAGTGCTGAGCATGTTTGGGAACTCGTTCAAGACTGTTTAAAAAGCATTTCAGGTGACTGAAAGCTCATTGAGAGAACACCAAGAGAGTGCAAAACAGTAAACAAAGTAAAGGGTGGTTATTTTGAAGAATCTAAAATATATATTTAAATAATTTCACACTTTTTTGTTTACTACACAATTCCATATATTTTCACCCATAGTTTTGATGCCCTCAGTAGGAATCTACAATGTAAATAGTCATGAAAATAAAGAAAAGACATCAATTGAGAAGATGTGTCTAAACTTTTGACTGGTAGCGAATATATATATATATATATATATATATACTGTAAATTAATTGCCCTCTCACCCCTGCAGGCAGTCTATCCTTCAAGCTTGGGTCCTCTTCCAGAGACCTTGTCCTGCACAGTAACTTTGCTGTTCCTAGGACCGCACTCTTCTGAACAGAGATGTTGTTCCTGGGATCTACTGGAGCCACTTGCCTAGCTTGGGGGTCACTACACTGAGTGCTCCGATTACCTCTGTAGCCACTATTACCTTCAACCTCCACGTCCTCTCGAGTTCTTCTCTCAGTTCTTTTCTGAGCCCTTGGTACTTCCCGACTGTCGTTTGGTATAACTTCATCTAGCACTACTGCCATCTTCCTCTGCTTGTCTACCACCACTATGTCCGGTTGGTTAGCCATCACCAGTTTGTCTGTCTGTATCTGGAAGTCCCACAGGATCTTACCTCGGTCATTCTTGGCCACCCTTTCCATTTTTAACATGGGACTTCCAGGCCAGATGTTTTTGTATACTATGCCAGCAACTTGGCTATGGCATTACAAGTATGCCTTGCCTGCTAGCATCTTGCACCCTGCTGTTATGTGTCGGATTATCTCAAGGGCATCTTTACACAGCCTGCACCTGGCATCTTGCCTGGTGTGGTAGACCCCTGCCTCTATGAATCTTGTACTTAGAGCTTAAGCCTATGGTGCCATGGTTATTTCCTCTGTGCTGTCTTTCCATCCAGCTTTATTCATCCACTGGTAGGATTTCTGGATGTCAGCCACTTTC